TCCTATTTATTTGCTGAGGTTGGCAGGAGGCTGTGAAACTATAGAGACATCAGTGAATTCAGATATAACTGCTTAAAAAATGCAACAGAATTCAGGCACAAAGTAATCTTCAGAGGAAGATTTCCACTTGGGCTTCACTCTGCATGCATGGCAGGGATTAAGTATCAGAAGGTACAGAGAAAGAGAGGCCATGCACCCTTGTGGTTATTTTTATTTCAAAGCTTTTATATTTTCTGACTCTGTGGCAAGTGAAGAGAAACAAGGTTCCATAAAGCCAGGCTAGCAATATTTTAGCTCATCTTCTAATGATAAATGAATATAAATAAATTGGTTATTTTTTTGCACTTTGGAGTTTTGTAGTTTGGGGATTTTTGAGCACTGAGGGAATATTTTTGAGGTTTTAAGACAATTATGATCAATGGATAATTTCTATTACCTTTCCTCCTTCCAGACATTTATCTTGCTAAAAACTATGTTCTCTTACTACAGACGAATCAAATGTAAGCACCTAGAGTGATTTTATATATTTTTGTTTGCTCTTAACTTCTGTTGACAAGGAGTGACTTTGAGCACAGAAGAGCAGAGTTTAACTCGCTGTCTCAGAAGCAGAGATGCAGAAGAGATGATTTTTCAGCAATTTTGTAATTTTGGTGTGGTTCTGCCTTATACAAGGACCCATCCAAGAGGAGCAGCAATTCTCTGCCTGCCTGGTTCAGTAGCTGTCCTGTCTACACAGGGCTTGACAGCAGAGGAACTGGCTGCTCTGCTCTGAATTTGTCACTGCAAATAATTTTCTCTGCTTCTGAGGAAGTTTGGCACAGATTTCTGAAGGCTGGTTCTTCTCACATGAGGTACAGGACTTGTCCTCCTGGTACCCTTAAGCCAGAAGTAGTTTCCAGACATTTCTGGATTTATTCCTGCCAGCCCCTCCTGGAGCAGCAGTCTCTATCTGAAGTGTGTGAGGTGTGTGCTGAAGAACACTCTATAAATTCACTTCTACCCATCAAATATGGGCACAGTGCTTTTGCCGTGTGATACATGCTGTAAATAATTACTGAAATCTGATACCTGGAGTGGTCAAAGAACAGTATGACTGGGCTGATAATGCTGTTTTCCTAAGATTTTACCTTTTATATTTATTTGGTCCTTTATTATGTTTGCTTGCTACCAGCAATGAGAAGGAAATAGCTTTATCATCCCATGAGCGTTTTCAAAATTTCAAGTTTTTCTGATTAAACATTGAGACATCCCAAAGGTTTTCCTGAGCAAGACAAACTTCTGCTCCACAGCAACTCATAATCACATAGGTGGGGCTCTCAGGATATGAGCAACCTGTTCAAGTTGCTTCTCTAGTGAATATTAAATTATTTGTATTATGTGAAACAATTCTGCAGAAGAGTTAGTGAGACACTCAGCTCAGAAAAGCCTGATGGATGGGGCAGTCGTTTTGGATCTCAGAGGCTCTAATCTGAGTGTCTCTCCTACTTGATTCAGAGGATAGCTTTGAACAGCAGCATAAATCTATTCCTCTCTGGCACAATTCTGCAAAAAAGAAATGTGTTTTCCAAAACTAAGAAGATTAACAGGTCACATCTAACAGCACCAACAAGATGGAACAGAAAGTATTTACATACAGATGCTACCTATACAGCTTTTCATTTTCCATTCTCTAGTCATTAAATATCTCCAGGTTGTGTTTTTAATGCTCTTTGTATGCAGCTTGTAAGCATTAGAGACATGTTTAAAAGAACTAAAAGCTTAGATTCTTGCATATTCGTGCAAACTCATGGGTTTTAGAAATAAAACTGAAATTCTGTTTAGAATAGTGATGAAACAATTTGTTGTTTGCAACACGGAATTCTGTCATTTATTGTTTTTGCCAGGCAATTCTTTAGCTTGTTCTGATAGAGCAAACAGAGGAATAAACAAATATTGTTGAGATAAGGGGATAATGATACACCAGAAGAAACCAGTCACATGAATACAGATACGTTCATTTTCAAGCAGGTAATTGGGAGAAAAAGTAAAAGGAGAGAAACAGTATAAAATGAACATTTAGCAGAAAATTATTAACAGTACTTAATCCTTAAATTTAGAGTGAAATTTGTCATATCAAACTGGGAGTGTGGGTAAACTTGCAAGAACTTTACCTGAGACTCCCGAATAATGTACTCTCAAAATGCCCAGCATTCCTTCCAAGATTGCCCAAACCAGAATAGATCCAGCCAATGTTTGTGCCTCTCCACCCAGTCAGAACAGCGTGGGTACCATGTGTGCCACAGTTTAAATTGAGCAGTGGGAGGCTTCCCTGCATTTCCAAGCAGACTGTCCTTTGGGAAGAGGGGATCCCACCCCCAGACCCTGCCCTGGGCAGGGGTGTGCCAGGAGGCAGAACAGGTTAAATGGAGCAAACTTCGTTTTGTGAAAGGATTTAAGGATGCAGAAGAAAGCAGAAAAAGTGCAGAAGAAGGTTAGTGTTGGGAAGGATGAATTAGGGAAGCCTTATGAATACGAGTGCCTAGCAAAAGACTTTGAGAATATGGAAAATATAAGCGAAATAGAAATGACAGCAATTTTTGACTGTGGGGCTGAAAGCAACTGAATGCCTGAAGGCCTCTTTGTTTGGATAATGTTAGATGCTGCGAATACCAAAAAGCAAACAGACATCCTCCCTAGGCATGGCAGGAAGGGTCCCAGATAAAATTTAGAGATAACAAAGCAGTAAAACATGGTAATATAGTGATTCCTATAGGTTGCATGCAAATGTTAGAGAATTTGTATCTTGTATTAGATTGGTTAGTGGAAATTAGAATATTTAACATAGGAGATTTATTGTATTGTAAACAGGAAAATCTCTCTCTTGCTCTCTTACTTTCTTAGGCTCTCTTACTCTCTCTTCACTCTTGCTTTCTTACTCTCTTCTCTTACTCTTGCTCTATCCCTCTCTCTCTGTCCTGCTCTGAGCTGTGGCTGCAGTTCCCAGCAGGGCTTCATATAAACCCACGCCCTACGAAATAAACTGCAAACTTCAAGACCAGAATACAGAGAGCGCCTGAGTTTGTCCCGACTGTCCCCACGCAGTATTTCCTACAGGTTAGGTGTCAGAAGACTGTAAAGTGCAGGGAAGAAGGCAGGAGAAAGAGAAATACCTAAATAATGTGTAAAGGCAAAGCTGTTAAGTGTTAATATCTTAGTGTTTCAAGAGTACTGACAGTAATCTTTTTGCAAGTCTCTCTAAGAGCCATTACCTTGGCTTAAAGTGAGGCTAAAATGGAGAAACCATTTTCAACTAAAATAAAAAAAAAAACCTTTGGATAGAGCAGAAGAGTAGGTAACATTGAAATAAAATTTTAAAACAGGTTTCAGAGAAGTCAGGCAAAACAAGTATGCACTGGGAGTGAGGGAGAAACTCACTAGATAGATGAGGAAAAAAGATCACAATGTTATTGAAAAACATGCGCTCCTTGAGATTGCTGTAAACCTTAGAAAACTTGGCTTATCGTTGTCAGAGCAGACAGAGATGATGTGTTTAATAATGTGTCTCTCATAGATGTTTATGGGCCTATCAATTTCCAATTTTAACTAACCAAGAAAGCAGCTAAAGAGCCAGAGAAATGACATACAAGGTGAAGTTCGAGTTGCCAGTCCTTAATGTTTGGCATATTGGTGGTAGCAAACAGGAATTGGACATTGAAATTCACTTCATGGTAGGCAGTTTTTTGACTTCTTCTGTTCAGGTCTGTGGCCTTGAAAGTACTGGACATCCCTCTCTCACAGGAAAAAAAAAGAAGAAATAAAAAGCTTGCCATCTTCTGAAAGTGGTTTTAAATTAGCTTTTAGCTTTGTGCTGCAGACAAGGTGAGCAGAACTCTGAGCCCTGTGCCTTTGCCCTGCCCTCAGCCCTGAGCAGGGTTCACACTGGGAGTCACTCTGACATTCCCACTCCTGTCAAGTTCTCGGAGAATGCTGGAAGAAAATGGCTCTCCTTGGTTTAAGTGATTGCCAAAGGCAAGTGACAGATCTGAGGAGTTTGATCCTATCAAGATTCATCTCAAAAATGCTGCTCTGGCTTAGCTTTCCTTTATCCTTGGATATTCAGTATGTCTCTGACAGCACAAGCAGGAGGTGATGTACAGGGATTGTTGTTTTCTATTTGTTAAGTCTTCTACAAAGGCACCCTCAGTGTCTCATCAAAGCTGTGTGTCTGAGATGTGTGTTCTGCCAGGATCATGTGTTTTCTGAGTTCTCTGGAAAGTATATTTAGAAAAAAAATCTATTTGAAACCTCTATTTAATTCTGTATATACTTGTACTTATATCAGAAACTAAATGCAGGTACAGAATGTTGAAAGTGAAAGATGCTGAAGTGCTTAGGGGAGCAGGCAGTGCTGGAGTTAATGCTTTTATTTATAAGGCTCATTGGTCAATGATACTGAACTCTCCTCCAGGAAAAAAAAGATCCTTAATTCACTCTTACAAAATTCAATGCCCTATTGTTCTCACTTTTCTGAAGTCACTGTTTATAACATTGCTCTCCTCTTCCCTCTGAGGAATAATATAATTTATTGGAGCAGTTCATTCATAGTCTATGTGATATCTATCTTTTGGGACAGAGATACCTTTTGCATGATGTACACACTGTTAACTTCAAACTCTTCCTGTTTGCTTTATGTGCAAGGCTCCGTAATCAGGAATATTTATGCATCCTGGTACCCAGTTGTGCTGTGCTTGCTGTTTTCTGCTCTTCATCGAAAATTAAACTTTTTTTCTTTTTGGCTCACACCTACCTGAAAAGCAAAAGATTTGAGAATATTACCCAATGGATTTATGATTACTAGGCAGATAGCCAGTAATAAGCAGTGATATCTGATACTACAGCCCAGACATTCTCTGCTTTTTTCCACCTTTTTCCTATTATCTCTAGGTTTAATAAACTATAAATGGGAGACATAAATGGCAGACCATCTTTTCTCTTTTTGTGCCTTTTTTTTTTCTTTGGAGGTGCTTGGTGATGAGATTAAGTTAAGGGTCATATATTCTTCCAGCCTAGTATTTAGGAATAGGCAAATTATTGAAAAGGGTGGAAGTGATCTAGGCTTATTCATTTTTGTGGGAGAGCAGCTTTTTTTTTGCTACACAACAATCATTTTAAATGGAAATAACAGTATTATAGATAGAGATTTAATGAATATATATGAGAAAAGCACGATAGGAGTCACTAAGCAGTTCAGGGCTTTAGATGAGGTCACGTTTCTGACTTGTGTAGTATGAAAATGAGTAAATCTTAGATGATCATAGTCGAAATATTTCCAGGGTATCGTACATACTGCTTATTGTAGGAAAAAAAATTATTTTCTTGCCTCTGGCTTATAAGAAAGCTATTGAGTGAAAACCAGCTGCATTTGTACCTTAACGTTTCCATTGCATATATTGTGTCTTTGTTTCTGGATCTCACGTAATTGCTGACTGTGAAATTAAAATACCAAGCTCATTATTTCAATCTTGAAATATAACTTGCTTTAGACTTATGCTTTTGTCTCTAATTGTGGTGTCCATGTGTTGAGCTTCATTAACTCGAAACAGAAGGAGCCCCCACTTTTGTGTTAAAGTTAATTAAACCTGGTAATGGTTATTGTCTGAAAATTTTCTGGGTTCAAGTAGGTTATTTTGTTTCTGTCTCTATTTTCATGCATCATTTCATCAGTTGTGGTTTGTCAATTAGTAATATACAGGATTTGCCTGGACTCAGTGAACTATGGGGTTTTTTAATCATAAAAATACACTTGTGTGTTTAATTAATGCATAGTTGGAAGCTTCTCCTTGTGAAATAATCACTGGTGACTTTTAAACTCAAATTAAAAAAAATATTTGGAAAAACAAAAACAATTATTTTTCCATGAATAATAGGTGACAACACAGCACACAGTAGATCTATGTTCAGTTTTTAATATAAAAATTGAAGATTTCAAAATCTGACAAATCTATGACGTGTAAAACCTTCAGACTTAGAAATACAGCCTTCTGAGCTGTACTCCACATAGACTTGTGGCCATGACTGAGAGGACAAATTAAATTTGCACATTTAAATGCATGTCTAGTTTAGTATTTATGCTTTAATCATTTTGTTCAAAGTTCTGCAATTCAGCCTTAAGGATTAATGGATGATGTGCACATCTTTATCACTAGTGTTGTGGGTTATGCTGTGGGAGATGTCCTCCTTAAAAAATACCACACAAAACCTCCTAGTGAAAGACCATGTCTAAGATCAGGCCATGGGTTTTGCTTAACAAAGCCCAATGATTTAAGTGCATGAAATAAAAGTTTAGAAGATGTACTTGCCTATGGGAGAAAGGACAAAATCGATGGTCTCTTCCTTGAAAAATTATGCAGGCCAAGTTTAAGTAAGTATTTTGTTTGTGATTCATTACAAAGGAAAAAGGACAACATTTAAATAACAATAATTTTATTTAATATTACTTTTCATGCATTTTAGATTTCAGATTTAAACCATCAGCTGTTTAGCTAAAGCTTTTGGACTATTCAATTGAGATGTAAAAGAAATAATGATTTAAAATCTTATTCTGTGTCCAGTTAGCTTTTTGAAATGAGGGGCATGTGTTCAGAGAAATATTGCTGTGCATCCAAAAGGTGCCAGTTAGAGATATTAGTGAAAGGTTTAATGGATATTCTGTGCTGTGTGAAGCTCCTGCTGACAAAGTCAGCTCCAGACCTTTCAGCATCTGGCAAACCAGAATCTTGCAGCAAAGAGGAGATGAGTGGAGGGGGATGTGCTTTGTTGGAATGGACCATGGAGGTTTTGGGTATAGGGATGGCAAAGGCTCAGCTGGGTGACAGCAAGGTGAGGAGATTTGATACAGTTTTTATGGCTTGTGGTAGCTTCTGTTGGATTTGTGATTATTTTCCTTTTTTTTGACAGGGTGTATGGAATTGTGATGAGGTAAAATGGTCTGGACAGAGCCATTTGAGGTTATGAAAAGCTGTGGGAGGTTCTGGAGGCTGTGAGGTCTTTCCAAGCCTTTCTGCCCAGCCCAGCGACCTTGCTGCCCTTCAGCAAGCAGCTCTGAACTGCTCTCCATGGTCTTGTCTCCTTTCAGTCACCACTCCCCTCCTCACTGGGGGCCTGACCCAATTCCCCACTCACCTGCTTCAAATTGTGCCCCATGGCAGCAGCACAGCGGGGGACACAGGCTGGGGACCTGCTGTGGAAAAGTGCTGCCCTAAGTCACGGTCACTGCCCTGTCCCTGCAGCACAGCCTGCTGCCCTGGGCTCTCTGACCTCTGCTCCCCACAGCCCTGGCTGCTGGGTGACCCTGTGTGACACAGCACCTGTCACCAGCAGCACTTCAGAGCCCTGTGGCCTTCCCTTCACAAGTGGCACATCTTCTAATGCATTCTTTCAGTGGCTGGGGGAACAGCTGTTTCCTGCAAAAAATTGGGAAATTAACAGTCCCACTAAGTATAAGGGTGTTAGTGCCACAGGTTAATGACAGGGTAGAGATGTTCAAAGTTAAGTGCAAACCTCTCCTTAAAGGGGCAGATCCTAAAATTTCCCTAATTTTCACTGAAATTCCCATACAAGTAAATATCTGTTCAGGTAGTGCTCTAAAACTCAAATGATTTTTTTTCCCTAGGAAGACCGAAATTTCCAGGCTTTAACTACATGTGAAATGTCATAAAAAGGAGGTGAAATACAAGATGGTATTGTTAGGGGAAATTATTCAATTTCTATATCCTCTCCTCGTCCCTACTGTGTTTAATCTCTTAGAATTGCAATTTTCTGCAGATTTTATGGGACATTCATTGGGATCTATTACAGGTTATAGAATGAGAAATCTATTAAAGATTAATTGAAATTCAGAGAATGAGAATGTGTACCGTGTACTATAAACCCACTTGAATCCCAAAATATTTTTTATTTTTGATCTAAGTTCTGCACTGAACTCCTTAAAAGAGCAGGCCTAAGAGTATCCACAATTAACCCCATAGATAAATGAAATTCCTTTTTTTTAAATTTAATTCCTTGGTAAGTACCTTGCTGTGTATTTCCTTCAAATAATTCCTTGACCTTTCTACATTCAGGAAGCACCAGAGTTCCTCTTGAGGAGGGGTAGCTGGGCTTGTGTGGAAATAGAACAACACAGATTTCACCTCATCTTCCTGTTTTCCCTCTGTGTGTGAGAAGACAAAACTGAGAGGTGGGATTGTTGTCAAGGCCAATTTGGGTGGATGCAGTTCTATTTTAGCTGGGTGACTCACCTGTGTCTCTTGTGTAAACCAGGAGAGCCCCTGGTGTGCCAGGATAAATCCAGAGACAGGAGGAGATACAAAGGATGTATAAAAGGGGATACAGAGCTGCTTCATCTGCTGCCTTGCCCTTACTCTTCAGCTGCATCTCAGCTCTTCTTTTGTCTGATAAAGCATTTCTGGAGAGAGAAATCCTCCTCACAGCCCAGGATGTGCCTGATGGCTTCAGCAGCTCTGGCCGTGGTTGCCTGGCTCAGCCGTGTGCAGGCACCTCTGCTCCAGCCTCCAGATAAGCCCTGACATTAACAGGGAATTCGGGGAGCATTGCCTTCAGCCAGTCCCTTCAGAACTCCAGCAGGACAGTGTAAAATCTGTGTTTTCTGATTTGGACTTTACAGTGCCATAAATAGTGACATCATAGTATATACACACAAATATATAATGATGAATACAGCAAATGCAATCTTGCACGTTGGCTGGAAAATACATGCTCCAGGCCCAGATTTAATAGCAACTTTCATATTCCATTCTTGGAATATAAAGCCAGCATTTTTGTCTATTTTGACTTTTGCATTAATAAAATGAGGTCAGGAAATCTGTTAAAGTTTATCTTTAAAAATGTTTTCAACCCAGTCACCTTGTTTTAAAAATCATTTCCGTTTGTTATCTGCACATTTAAGTAGATTGTGTTTCCTCGTGATTGAGTCTCTGAAGGAAAGCACTAACAGATTCCTGTAATTGATTATACTTTAATGATACATAATGGCAAGTTCTGTTTTCCATTATTGTTACCCTACACGCTGAACTGTAACTGCTGCGATAGCAGAATGGATATTGATATACAGTTGATTTAGTAACATTTTACCAGCTGAAATGCCCGGCATTAACTACCACCGTGTCTGCAGCGTTCGGGGGCAGCGGCCGCGCACACACCTGGGCAGGTATTGCAGGTGTTGCAGGTGTTGCAGGTATTGCAGGTATTGCAGGTGTTGCAGGTATTGCAGGTGTTGCAGGTGTTGCAGGTCCTCGGTGCTGGCCCAGCCCAGCCCTGCCGAGGAGCTGCAGTCGCTGTCCCCGCCTTCCGTGGCCCGTTGCAGCCGGGATCTGGCTGTTCTCACACCTGCGGTGTTTCGCTGATTGCATTCTTTCCTTTCTGACGGTCCTTTCTCAACAAGCGATCACCGCTTGTCCCTCCCGGTCCCACCCCGCGGTGGTTGATGATCTGAAGGTGTTCTTACCTTCCTGATTGGAATGACCTCATTATTTACGGATGTCCCCTGGCGGGATAAATCTCGTCCCTTGTGTTTGGGTGGGAAGCCCGGGAGCAGGGATTGCTTTGCCTGTGCTGGTGTGTGCTGTGCAAGGGCAGCGAGCAGAGCCCTGGCCCGTGGCTCTCTCTGCTCACGCAAACCATTGCAGCAGTGCTGTTCCCCTAGGCTGGGCTCTAAGCCCTGCGCTTTCAGCCTGTCCTAACACTGAGGTCACAGGGAACTTCTGGTGAGTGACCCAGCACTCGGGGCTGGCCTACATTGGAAAAAGAAATTTCAAAAAGCTGATTTAAATGTTGAGTTTTCCGGGTGCTGCAGAAAGCCACAGAGCTGTTGTCTTCTAATGATCATAGAATATGGAAACTTAACAGCTAGAATATGATAATGATGTAAAATAGGTGATGTGTGTTCAAACCCTGGATAGAATGGCACAGTGTATCAGATAAGGTGCTGACTCAGGCTTTGCTTTTGCCTTGATTTTTAATTTTCTTTACTGAGAAGAAGATGCTACTTAAA